GATGCTGGACCCTGGACAGCCAGTTAATGGCTGTGTCCTTTGTCAGYGGCCCCAGCATCTTCCCCACTGTCTTGAGCTGCTCGGGGGTAAACCAGAGCACAGCCCTGTTGGTGTCTATGGGCTGGAGGGGGACGTGGCTGACTGGCTCATTGTGGGGAACCTTTTTATCTTTGGAAGCCTCTACCTCCCCTGCCTGCAGCTGGCACACCTCCTCCCGCAGAGGAGCATAGGGGGACGGCCTGGTGGGGACATTGGCACCCCACACATCATCCTCGTAATCATAGTGGGGCGGGTGCGGGTCCAGGGAGTCCTCCCCCTCGCCATTCCCAATCAGGCTCTTCTTGCCCCTGATGGCAGCCACAATGCCCCTGGACACCCCCAGCTCTGCCTCTAGCTCCTGGATCTTGGCATGGCAAACCTTGTGATCRGGGCCGGTGCCCCGGTCCCGCTGGACGTCCAGCAGGACCGCCCGCACCGCGCTCTGCGCATCGTGGGTCTCCCCGATCCACTTGCCAACCTCTTTCTTCAGCTCCTCTGTTTTCTGCTTCTCATGGCCCAGTTTGCTTTCCAGCCGGTTGATCTCCACCGCGCTGCGCAGAGAGTCCCCGCACAAACCATTCACCTCCGCCTGCAGGTTGTCCACCTGCATTCTGAGCTCCTCCTTGGCCTGCTCCAAGTTCTGCACATTCTCAAGAGCCTCCTTTAGCAACCTGGACAACTCCCTGCCTACCATCAGCAAACCCTGCAAAGCCGCTCGCTTTTTGCACTTATTCGTGGGTTTGGGTTTTTTGTTCTCCTCTGACCAGCTCTCCCACTGCTGGCACAGCTGCTGGTACGCATCTGGGCCCTGGAAAGACCCCGGTGACCAAATTGGGGGCAGACACTTCTGGAGCACAAACTGCTCCAGCTTCCAGCTGCTAACGATGTCGCTCATCATCGTGAAGGGCACGAGATGTGAGACGGCTCCGTCTCAGGGCTAAACTACTCCAACACACCAGCACTGCCAACCCCTCCACGGAGCAAGGCTGCGACCCTGCAACCCGCCCCGCTGGAAAGCTCCCCGGGGAATATCGGGGGGATACCGAGCCCGGGAACGAGGGAAGGGAGAAGGAAGGTGGGAACGGGACGCTGCGGYCGAGCCGGCAGCTGCTGCGAGCCACCGGCTCCCGGGGAGGGAACGGGGAAGGGATACGGGAATGGGTGAAGAAAAGGAGAGACGGAGAAGGACCCCAATAATAAGATCTCACCAATCCTTGGCTGAATGCTCCGGCAGTCGCAGGAACTCGGAGAAGGTCTCTGCAGAGGTCCAGCAGAACCGGCACCTTTAAGGTGAAGGTGCTCACGAAGTCTCAGCCCGGTGATTTTTATAGCCATGGCAGGTTGTTGTTTGGGGTTGGTGACACCTGTGTTTACTTCCTTGGTGGCTTGTCCTCCTCCGTGTGCTGCCTTCCCAAGGACACTTTCCTTGTCTTTCCTTATCCTCTTCAGCRCTGATTAGGGAAGCGGAGATCACACAACAGCACCTGCACTGCCCCTTATCTGTTTGGGGAGGGCCAGGATTAGACACAGCTCACACTAAACTTTTTCTTGCACCAAGTGTCCTGAAGAGGGAGAGCTGGAGCCTGTCCTCTGAGAATCTGTCCTTCCGAATGCCCCCATAGCCCCCTCATTTACTGCACACCCCATTAGCACCTGGGGTCTGGGGGGAGATCACACATGGGGCTCACACCTGACACCTTTAACTCACACAGTCCTACCAAACTGCCCCCCAGGCACAAATCTGTTTGCCAGGGGTGGATGAAATTACAGGAAAWTTCATGCCATTCRTAATTTAAATGCATTTTGGTATCTGGTATTTTTGCTATCTTAAAAGCAGCGTTTTCCCATGCCACAACCCACTGAGAACAGTTGATCATACACTGGCGTGGACCTTGGGGTGACCCCATGACGTGTCAGGAGCCTCCACTGTGATATTGCATCAGCTGAATTACAGCTGTGAATCTGCACCTGCAAAGGCAGATGGAACCCCCCCAGCCTCACCCTACAAAACCACATCTTAGCTTGGAGCAGTTTAGAGAATTTGACACACTTGTTTTGAGGGKTTTTCCTGCTATTGCACTAAAAAAAGGGTAGTAATCACCTTACTCAGTGAAAATGCTATCATTTTCATTACTGTTTTTACCTCTTATTAAATACTGCAGAAGCTAAACACTCCACTAGAATAAAATAATTTTAAAAAATTTAAAAAGGGAAAAAAAGTTCACACATGGCTGCTTGAGTCCCAGGGAGTTTCCATCTTGCACCCTGTTATCTCTGGCAGCCCTTATTTCCATGTATTGCAGTACTGGCCATGTTGAACCTCAGACTTGAGGCTGACGATGCTTCCCTGAACCCCAAAGTCAGCCCTTGTAGCCCCAAAAGGACAGAGAGGATGCCCTTTCCCTGATTTTTACATCAGCTGATTTCTCTAGCCTGGCATTTACAACCCAGCTGCAATTACCTCCACTGCAACACAGGAGTTTTAACAGAGACTAAACCCCAACCAGGTCCTGCTTCTCAGCTGTAAATCCTGTTCTTCTACCTCAGTGCTTTGCTCCAGCCCCCCAAAACAAACACTTAACTGTATGGAATTCATCACAGGGGGAAAAGAAGTAGTAAAAAATTTTTTAAAAATCTGGTGAAAGCACCAGAAATCAATGTCAGCATGGTGAGGTGGGCAGAATGCAGACTGGAAAAAAGAAGAGGGGCTGTTTTCYACTGGGATGGGTCCACTGGGAGTTGGCTGGGCTGAGGACAGATATGATTGTCTTTAATTTCACAAAAATAATAAAATTTCCCTGGAAATTGTGCAGGAAAATTGGGCAAATACACCAAAATTCAGCGATTCCCCCCCAGCATGGCCCAACTGTGAGCCAAACACTCGTGATTAGGAGCTGCTGCTCCCCAGCAAGGTCACCAACAAACCTTGCTTGTGTGAACAGATAAGATCAACTTACAGCCTTCTTTCCTCCCCTTTTCTTCCCAGGACAGCAGCCCCAAACAATGTGGGGATGTTACAAACAGCAGCTGCCTCCTGCACGTTCACACAGTGCTTTGATTTTTGTTGGTGATACGCTGCCAGACAAAGGTATCTCTCCTCCAAAATGTTTTCTTGTAGGAGCAAACAGCCAGTCCTGAGAACAGCTTGGCCACTGGTAAACAGCTCCACTGCTGTGTAAACAGCAGCTTAAAAAAAAAAAAAATTACATTTAATCCATGTTCCTGTACGTTATGTTTTTACATTGCACGTATTCCTTTTTCTTTCTATAAAACTGTTACGATATCCTGGGGAATCATCCCAGTGTAACATCCCCATATCCAGGTCCTAATTGTTGTAATGATGGCAAAAGCCATCTTGAGGACAAATTTTTGTCCTGGCCAGGAGGCCAGAAGATTCTGCAGGTGACAACAGCAGTGGAAAAAAAGGGACACAGCCATTGCAGCAGCTGAGGGTGTTGGATTCAGCTCACAGATTTCACCCCAGGGATGAAGGGAAAATTCACTTGCAGTGGCATTTCTTATACCAAGCACTCCCTGCCCCCCTATCCCAAAAAAGAGGAGTTTCACCTCATTCTGGAGAGGCCCCAATATGGAAGTGATGTGAAACAAAAGGGGAGAGACGAGCAGAAAGTGAGGATGGGAGAGGCAAGTGTTGCTACATCCCACTTCGAGGGCTCAGCTCTGAAAACAAGAGCTTAAAAGCACTGAAATGGGTTTGGAAATACTAAAATTGCCCTTTTGCCCCAGGAAAGAGTTAAGGAGCTATTGAGCCCACCCTAAATTTTAGCAGATGAGCCCTTTGTGGCTAGGCTTTTGCAGTTAGCAGCCTGAAATCAATTTACACAGAAATGGGGAGAGGATGTGTTACAGCAGCATGGAAAAATCTGGTACAAAATGGACCAAAAACATACAGTGTACAAGGTGCAATATTGTTTTTCCTTTTCATCTGCCAGCTCAACCCTGGGGCAGGTTTTTCAGTGCCCCCACATGAGGCTCCTCTTTCTGGGGATTTGCTGGGGCCTTGTAAGGACCACAAGTATCTCCACAAAGGGGATGTAAAAGAAAACTGGATCTCACCTGGCAGCCAAGAGGACAGTGAATAAATACAAATAATAAATAATGAATATATTTTTTCCCAAACATAAAAATGTTGAAGGCTGCTGACACCAGTTCATTTCTGTAATTTCACATCATGTGCTTCAGTCTTTGAATCCTAAACCCCAAATGCTTCAAACTCCTTCCTCACAGACATTTCAAAGTCATTCTGATATTTTATCATTTAAATATTTCTGCCTGTGAGCCCTGTGCTGTCACAGCTACTAAAGCAGTGCATSCTGCAAGGTGGGGAGCCCCAGCAGAATTTCCTCATTTTTGTGGTTTTTCAGCTACAAACTTGYTTCAGGTTTCTTGCTCTTGACTTCAAAGTTCTTGTGATGCCTCATGTCTCTGCTTTGTGTTAGCTTGGTCTGGTGTTCAGCACTTCCCAGAGAAAAACACCTCCTGCTATAAATTCTGCTGAAGAAAACAACCCCACGAAACAAAYTGCATATTTTCCTTGTTTTGAATGCTTTTTTTATTTCAACAGGGAAAAAAACCAGCCAAAAWTCATGCTTTCCTGTGTGCTTTTAAAGCCACACTCTTACATTTGTAATTTTTTATAGTAYAAAAGTCGATTAAAAGAAGGAGGAATAACTAAACAGTGAAATATGAAGAAAGCATAATCAAAAATCAGTGAGTTTTCTTGGTTTTACTTTTCTCAAAGGGATTTAGTGGTACCCTGTGCAGTGCTGGAGGGCACAGGGCTGTTACACTGATGCACTTTTGGTTTTGGGGCTCTGCGCAGAAGAAGCTGCTGGGCTGAGGTTCCGGATGCTGCTGTGGCAGATGATCTTTGGCAGCCTTTGGTGAGAGATCTACACAGAAAGGGACAAGGACTTCCTGAGGAGAACCAAGAGGTGACAGTGAGGGGAAAGGGGGAGCTGGCACAAAACCCCTCCGTCACCAAGTCCACCACCATGGCCTGGCTGTGGCTCCATCTCTGCATCTGCCTCCAGATCCCAGGTAAGAGGGACACGTCTCTTAAGGGTTGAAAGCACCTAAAATCGTGCTGAAGCCTCTCCTCCACCCCRCTCCAGCATGTGGGATGCATTGCAYAGCMTCTGGAYGRTGGAAGTTTAAATATACCAYCACAGTATAGAGCTATTAATAGGATATTGTTGCCACATAATTTTGGATCATGCCTTTAATGACATGCTTTAGGTTTTGGTCAGGCAGTGTGACAAGATGGTTGCTGTTGGTCCCTCCCAACTGAAATAGCCTATTCTGCTCCTATTCTATTCTATTCTATTCTATTCTATTCTATTCTATTCTATTCTATTCTATTCTATAATATTCGAGAATATTAGAGAATATTATAGATTATTATAGAATATTATGTTCATATTTCAATACATAATGGTGTAGACACCACGGAGTTTTTGCTGCACCCTCAATGCAGAAAGACTGTAAGAAGCTGCTGATGGAGAAGTCAAAGTAGCTCCTCTCTACACTGCCTGTGTAASTCAGAGAAGATAAACAAATTTTCTTCTTAATCATCCAAAGACTGAGTATTTTCCAAGARGAAATTGAGCAGGAATTGGTGTGTTATTAAACCATTCTGCCTTACAGGTCTGATATCCTATAGATCTGTATGGTGGGGAGCCTGCTGAGAAAACCTCAATAAATGAGAGTTTGTGYCATGCATGTAAAGGGAAAAGGGACCATTTAAAAGGTGTTGCAGGCTGGTCTGGCCAAGCACCGTAATTCCTTATGGTCCCCTGAATATACACCAGGAAAGGGAACAGGGAGGTTTTGGRGTTAAAGGTATGACTGAAGATGAGSTTTTCTGCTCCATCTCCATCTCAGCTCACCCCTAGCTTGACCACTGGCACTGAGATGAGATTTTCCAGGATCTCTTTATCTTTTCTGACTTATCTGACAGTGTCTCCAGCTCAAGGAAAGCTTTTCATGGACAGTTACATTTCCGATGCCCAGCAGAGCCAGACCTCAGAGCACTCAAGGAGAACCTGAGGCCCCCATACTCCATGGCCACACACATTTCATCCCCTAAAAAACACGCTGGTATTTGACAGAGCAAAATTTAAGATTATTATGCTCTAAAACCTGAAAATTATGTATTTTAATAATAAGGAGACATTGATGTTGTCACCGAGCCAGAGAATGTGGTGAAATGCTGCAGCTGCTGTGCCACCCCTGCATTTTGGCATTGTGCCATCAATGCTCTGCAGCACTGGCAGTGATGGGGTCACTGGTGTGGGGACAGAGGAAGGATCTGGACCCCTGTCAGTCACCAGAGCCCTCTCCTCTGCCTCTGTGACATCAGGAACATGGGAAACATCAGGACTTTGTGCCACAGTGATGGCTTTAACTGTTCTTGGGTCACGCCAACCCATCCCACACCACTGGGATTGCAGGGCTGCACGAGGCTACAAAAACAGCTGCAAGCAGCTTTGGGATTTTGAAGAAAAAGAAGCATTTTAAAGTAAAAAAGAAAAATACGAGAAACATGTATTACTGAGCTTTTTTCACAGCTTTAAAACCTGCCTGGGAAAGAGACGGGGGAAGCRGGAGTATCCTTATCTTCACAGGGCTGTTTTTCACTCGGTCTCGCAGTATCTGCAGCKTTGCAGGACTGTTTGCTGAACAGCAAAGATCACAAGTTACCTGTTGTCATTTCCACAAGGACACACCATCCTCGTTCACACAGACACCCCTCACATCTGTCTGAGCCAAACAAGGCTCAGATAATTTTCACAAAAGCTGCAAAGCCCAAACAGGGCGATGCGATGCCAAATCAAAACTTTGAACCTCACCGCTACCCCTCACTCCCTCTCCTTCYCCATGTCTCAAAATTCCTTTGAAAAATATTACTGTCTGAAAACTAATATAAAATTGGCTCATTTTGAGATGTTTTGCACATTTTTTGGTCTTTTTTCCTGCTCCTGAGATGTTCGTTGGTGTTGTATCTGTTAAAAAAAAAAACCTGGTAAATCAGTTAAGAGGCACAAAAAATATGTTGAAAGAGAGGTGAAATCTCTGAAAAATGAAGAAGTTAAGGAGGGCAGGGGAGGGGTATCCAGAGGTGCAGATGGGGTTGCCCTTCCCTGCACATACAACCCCGAGGACACTCTCAAAATCATCCCTCCATCCCTCTACCTGACAATGAGCTTTCTCCTTAAATGAGTATTTACAGAGAAAACTCAGAGAAACTGTATAACTAGGCTCGATAAAACATACCTGAGGAAGCCAAAAAGGCCTTTGAGGGAAAATGGGAGCATCCTGATAAAGATATTCCTGTTTCTCACTGGTGTGATCCCCTGGTCTGTGTCTGCTTCATTTTATTAAGCCCGTAAGGAAAATCTATCCTTAGCCCAGAAGAAAAATAACAAAATAAAAACAATAACTGTGTATCACTGTCTCTTTTTTTCCTTAGGTTTTTATGCAAATCTACTTTTAACCCAAACTCCAGAGCATATTTTAACCCAAACTAACAACAAAACAGAAATCCTCTGCGAGCTGAAGAAGGAGCACACCGGGGTGTACTGGTACCGCTGGAGCCAGGAGAGGCAACATTTCGAGTTCTTGGTATTTTCCAACACGCTGGGCAAAGCTACATACGGTGCAAACGTGAGCCAGGACAARTTTAGTGTCCAGGAGGCGAGGTCCCAGAGCTCCTACAGCTTGCACATCAGCCACCTCCATCCCTCAGACAGTGGCACCTACTACTGCTCYGTGTCCCACTCCTCCCAGCTCCTCCTGGGCAGCGGGACACGGCTCAGCGTGGGTAAGCAGCACCCCTGGRCTTCCAAAATGTGCCACCAGCAGGYTTGGTGAGGTCCCCTGGGTAAAGGATGATGAGTTTTGGTAGATTGTTCCCAGTTTTGAGCTGCAACATTGGGGCTCGGCGGTTTTCTGAAGAGATCTACGAGACCGGACAAAGCAGAAAATACAGAAATTAGCTAAATTTTAGGTCAGCTGCATGTGATAGTCCTTTAGCCATCAGCAGCTGCTCTGCTTTGGGCATGCCTTGAGCTCAGCGTTGGTCCTGGTGCTTTAGGATTTCCATGGGAAGGTGGGATATTGTCATGCCTGTGCTTTTCTCAGCCCTGCTGCACTTTGGGTGAGAGGCWGGGTGTGTGCCCTGCTCAGCTCACAGGTCCTTCCATGCCATAATTCATCCTTACCCTCACTCCAAGAGACAAGAGCAGCATTGAGGCCAAAGAACATCACCCCTCACATCTCTGGGGTGGATCTGAGAGCAGCTTTCAAGATCATCCTTCACAAAAAAGACTGAAATGGGATTTATTCCTCAAGGCTCACAGCCCACTTTCCCCGGGGAGCTCCTAGCAGAAATCAGAAATCAGAGTTTTCTGCAGGTGTCATGGGGGAAGAGAGGCTTTACAGACATCTGGGTCATACAAAAGTGCTTTTCAGCCTATTTTCCCTTTGACCACAGAGCAGGAGTTGATGCAGAAAAATGAATGCATTTAAAGTANNNNGGGTTAAATTATATTTTCTCACTCTCAGATTTCTTGGTTTTTTTTTTTTTTTTTTTTTCTCACTTTTAGGGAAACAAATAACTTATTTAAGATACAAATAATTTATTTAACCAAAATGCCGCTACAGTTTCTGACTCTAAAGCCTGGTGGCCTAATTTTTCTGGGTTTTTTTTGTGAATATACTCTGCACCTTGAACGGACTGAGAAATCTCTTTTGGATTCTTGCAGACTATGAGAAAAGCCGGTTTAAGATAAGGGGGAATTGTTTTTTTTATTAGCCAGGCACATATCTCTTTGCAGAGCATGAAAAACAAGCTTGAAATTCAGTTTGATCAAGGACAATTCAATTAAAAAGTAAACAGCAGCAGGTGCTCTGGGAGGATTCAGGCTTTGCTGGATATTTTCAATTTTTGCTTTTAGTACTCATGATAAAACAAATCGTCTTTTTCTTTTCTCTGAGTCTATTATAATGTAAGGGAAAGTTGCCCAGATAAATCCTAGTCTCAGCTTTTCRTGCAAAAGAATGGTAGTTTCTGTAGGAATTTACATCCTGGATAGAAACCGAAAAACACTCAGTTTTGAATCACCAAAAATTCTGAATAWGTGTGGTTTGAGCAGTCAGACATGCAGCTATTTAAGGACATTACTGGGATATTTTCCTGGCCAACTTTACTGAGAAATGAATGTGCTCCACTGTAATTCAGCTACACCATAATAAATCCTGCCCTCATTTTATCAGGAASAAAAATTATCAAATGCTGAGCAAAAAATTAGAGCAATCTGAATAAGGAAAAGGTCCAGGGATCCCTTAAAATGTCCCAGTACTACTGAAATCTCCTGCTACCCACGATTTTGTGCAATGCTGATGAGATAATGCTTGGCAGCAAATGTCACTCAAGCAAGTTTGGGGGCTTTTCCCTGCCTGAGCCTTCTTTACCTGGTACATTTTTTAACTAACACTTTTTAAAGCTCTTGGTAACTTTTGTGACCACTGAGAGGCTCAGGTCAAGTTCTCAACCCCTCTGGGTGACACAGCCCTTTGCAGGGGTCACAGGTTGGGGTTTGTTCCAAGGGGTAAAATTCCCAGCCCTTCTTGCCTGCTGCTGGAGATCTCTGCTGCMCTCAGTGCCACCCTCACCACCCTCTTTTTCTCATTTTCCCACAGTTGATGCTTTGCCTCTGCCTCCAAAAACCACGCAGGCACCGGTTACCAAAAACCCTGTTCCACGGATAACCAAAAGCAAAGCTGCCAGCAGGAAAGGTATGGCACTGGCTCAACTCAGGCTCCTGGGAAAAAGGGGTTTGCTGAGCTCTTGGGGTCTCCAGGGTTCAGCCAAATGTTGTCCTGGTTTGGGGACAGCCACAATGCCACCCTGAAGGAGTGAGTGTCTGGGTCCAGCTAGACCCACAGCTCTGGATGGAGCTGCTCTCTGCCTGTAGGAGGGATTTCCTGGGGTATCCATGGATTTAGGGGCCAGGATGTATTTCAGTTTAGGGTATCGTGACCTCACAACTGTGTTCCCTGCAATGCCTTCTTTACTGTGAGCATGACTGAGCAATGGAACAGAGGGATTGTGAAGTGTCCCTTACTGGAAATATTCAAAAGCCATCTGGACACAATCCTGTGCCATGTGCTCTGGGATGACCCTGCAGGAGCAGGGAGGTTGGACCAGATGACCCACTGTGGTCTCTTCCAGCTTTACCCATCCTGTGATCCTGTAATTTCATCCTTGAAAGGACACCCCAGGGTGATGGTCACATCCTCCACCGCTCCTCTGAGGACCTTTTCTCCTTTCCCACCCCACACTCCATCCCCAAAGCTGCCAGGGCAGGGTGCTGATTCCTCTCCTGCTCTCCAGGTCCCTGCAGTCCCCTGGTCTGGATCCCACTGGCYGCTGGTGTCCTGCTCCTCCTGCTGGGCCTGGTGTCCACTGCCCTTCACCTCTACCGTGAGTGTCCTGCCAGCATCCTCGGGGTACCAGCCCCTGGGACAGCCCTGGAATGGGATGGTGAGCTGGGAGGGCACCCTGGGACTGATGGACACTGTCTCTCTCCAGGTCTACGGCGGAGGCTGTGGCTTCGCATCCACAGGCAGTAAATCCCAGTAAATCCCAGTAAATCCCACCAGACCATGGACCCTCCCCTGCACGACGCTGAGCACGGCCTGGATATCACCCAGGAAGGACATGGCAGGGGACAGACGTGGGCTTGTACCAAAAAACAGACATTTCTTTCCTGTCACAGACCACAACTTCAACATTTTCCTTGACACAGCAGCTGGTAAAAGGACCRGGCTGGATKCAAAGGACACWGAACAGGRCAAATGCCACAGGGRGCTGGCTCTGCACAGGGGAAGGGGYTGGTGTGCCAGGGGGATTMRGGTGGGCTGGAAAGCTGTGAGCTCCTTGGCTCTTCTCTGTGTTCATCCATAGGACAGCACAAAGGAGCTTTTTCTAAATTTTGCTCCTGTTGATACTGGTGGACAAAACTTTGGTAATGAACACTTTGAGAGCAACCAGCAGGGATGAGGCAGAGGTATCTTGTAAAAACCTTGTGCAGGCTTGCTCAACAGCAAAAGTGAATCTCTCACTCAGTTATTTTGTTCTGCAGGCTGGTGTCTCGTGGTCCTGCTCAGTGAGGGATGCAGTTGTGTGGTGAGCAAGGAGCTCTGGCCAAGAAAGAGTTAAAGCAGAGCAAAAGCTCCATCAGGGAGCAGATCTGGGAGGGTTTCTTCTCCCATGGGAGCCAGGAGTGGGAGAGGAAAGCCAGACAAAGCCATGCACACAAGGCCARACACCTGGCACAGCCTGAAGGTCAACAGCACCTCTGAGAGCAAACAGAGGCCCCCAAGAGCTGGCTCTGAGCCCAGCAGCACGGCATGGCTGGAGGGAACTGCCCTGAGTGAGGCCTGGGTGCTGAGCCCTGGGTGACATCTCTGTGTGCTGAACCCCCATCTCTGTGTGCTGAACCCTGAGTGACAACCTTGTGTGCTGAACCATGTGTGACATCCCCGTGTGCTGAATCCTGAGTGACATCTCTGTGTGCTGAACCCCCATCCCTGTGTGCTGAACCCCCATCCCTGTGTGCTGAATCCTGAGTGACATCCCTGTGTGCTGAACCCCCATCCCTGTGTGCTGATCCCCATCCCTGTGTGCTGAACTCCCATCCCTGTGTGCTGAACCACGTGTGACATCCCTGTGTGCTGAATCCTGATCCCCATCCCTGTGTGCTGAACTCCCATCCCTGTGTGCTGAACCCCCATCCCTGTGTGCTGATCCCCATCCCTGTGTGCAGAATCCTGAGTGACATCCCTGTGTGCTGAACCCACAAGTGACATCCCCATGTGTTGAACCCCAAGTGACATCCCCGTGTGCTGAATCCCCATCCCCATGTGCCAAGCCCTGAGTGATGCCAGGAGCAGGGAACACCTCCCCAGGGATGGTGACAAGGCTCAGCTGCTGGCCCAGGCTCCAGGGCAGATGTGGGGCTGGCAATGGGGCACCCTGCAGAGCACAGGCAGTGGGCATTCGCCCTCAGACCCATCCCCAGCCCCACATCTGCTCACACACAGCTCAGGGAGGGCAAGGGGAAGGGGGTCCAGAGTCCCCAGGGTTGGGGTTAACACATTTTGGGACAAGCTTGTGGGTGCAAAGCATCCCAGTGCCAGAGCAGCATCACYCTGGCCTTCCCCTCCCTCCCCTCCCAGMYGCAGGGAGCTGCTGCTTTCCACTTTAATATCCATTTTCCTGGAGAGCTTTGGTCTCGAGCCCAGCCGTGGGTGCTTCCCTTGATCGATGCAGTGATGAAGGTGGCAGTGGATCATGCTGAGCCAGCTCTCCCAGGCTGTGACACTCACCCAAGCTCTCAGGCCACCCAGCTGATGGCTGTGGGGACATGGGCACGAGAACCCATCCCACCACAGGTGCTGCAGGCAGGGGACTCTGAGCACCTCTGATTCCCATAACACACAATTTATCCTCTGTGAGAGCTCAAATGAACTAAAACCATCATTTTCCTTACCCTAGAGGCACTCAGTGAGCAGAGCTTCACCCCAGCAGCAGATGATTTTTTTTTTCAGTTACTTTTTTCAGGGCACTGTAAGAAAACCCCTTTGAAACTTCCCATGGGCAAAGGTTTATCCTTTCAAAAACAGGGTTTTCCCTCTGCCTGCAGTTGCTTTTGATATCCCAGCTCCTTTTCCCACATTTGAGGTGTGCTGACCTTAATGTCCACACCTTTTTCAGCTTTCCCACCCTGCAGCCAGCACAGGGGATGGCTTTCCATGGCTGAGAAAACACAGGCTGCACAGCCCAAACCTCCTCTCCCAAAGGAAGGTGAGTGGCCTCAGGGATAACCCTGCTCAGTCCACTCCTCTCCTTCCTTCCCCACATTTAGAATATCCTTACAGGTTCTGAAACCCCTCCCCAAGACAGCAGCATCTTTCTTGATAGACTTCAGTCCCTTATCCCAACCCCAACCACACGTGCAAAAGGATAGGGATTTATCCCTCAGTTCTCTGCTCACCCACAGCAAAGAATTTGATCCATGTCTAAATTCCCCAAATTGGCTTCATTGTTCCTTTGTAATTTGAAAAAAAAAACCCAAATCAAAACAAAAAGCACCCAGACTCCACATCATCTGTGTGCAGTGAAAACAGGAGAGGACAGCAACAGCCAAAGATGTTTTTCTGACCTGTTGAAACACAGGTTTGGGCAGTTTGCCAGTAGAAATTCTGAAAATAATAATAGTCATTTCTATAATCATCAATAGAGTGTTTTAGGCAGTAAACCTGGCAGAGATTTTAGCAGATTTCACAACTGTAAGAGCTCATGGAAAAAAAAAAATCACCCTACATTTCATAGGCTTTTTGCCCAGAGCATAAATAAAGCAAGAAACAGAAACACTAATAAAAAGATGATGAGAAAATTATCCCAGTGCCCTGATATCTGCAACTTCTTTGCTGAGAGCACAATGMTRATGGAGAMAKGGGTCAGGRATGCCATRWAAGGTCATGGAATGTCATTTCCAASTTGAAAATTAATGGGAAAGTGTTCYTGTGCMTCTCTGCTAACAGCMTGAGCCCTGGATCCATGGGGAGAGAGACACAGGTGGCAGCATTGTCCATCCCAGTGTCACTGCAGCCACGATGTCCTGGCACAGGAGGGTCCCTCATTTATTCCTTTTTTCCTTCTAAGGATGGATSAGCCTTCTCCAATCTCCCACTGTCACCATCCTTCCTGCAGCAAGGAACATCCATATCTAGAAGGGAAAATAATGGGATTTATAAATAAACCTCTAAGCCTCACTTCAAAAGTAAATAAACTRTTTCTGCTTAAATGGCAAAAGGAGATACCACAAAATTTGGACAAAAAGACAAAAGGTTTTTGCATAGGAGGGTTTTGGAGGACTGTGAGTTCAGGCACAAAATGTTTCCTATATTGTGCTCATCCACACAAATCATTGGACAAGGAAATGTAAAAGAGATCAAAAAATCCATGTTGCAATAGTCTGTTTTATTATTATTATTTCTTTTATATTTTATATTTATATATATAATATAGAACATGTTCTACACAGAATATATATAATATATATTATGTACAAAGAACACATAGAATACACAGTCTATATTATTAAAAAAATCCAACTATTCTCTCAATAAATAATACAGATCTTGAAAGTATTAAAATATTCAAAAGACGTAGATACAGAGCAGAAACACAGGTACTTCAAGCATTTCAGTAAATAGTCTTCATATTTTTGCTGAAGTTCTGTAAATGCATTTTAAAAAAAAATCCAGTCTTTACAGAATACCTCAGTTGTTAATCTAATATTGAAGTGCTCAATTTTTCTTTATTCCTTTAAGATGATCAGTCCTTTTTATGTGGATGGTCGGGGTTTTTGCAATACAAAAAAGTAAATCAAATCAGGTGCAGCTGAAAACATTTAATTGAAAGCAATCTATTGACATGAGAGTAAAGTTATTTCTGTTTTTAATGCCTCTAATATATAAATAAAACAATTTTGTAGGCATAAGCTGCTGAGTAAGGCACAATAACAGAGAAAGGATGAATAACATTTCAATTAAATTATGAAACTTGAAATGTGTGCAAAAAGAAAGGAGATATGTTATCCATGGGTTCTGTTTGAATTCCTTCAGATTTATCCTCCCCCAGAGCAGCTCYGGGCACTGCAGCTTCTTATTAAATATGTTCTCCTGGCAGGAGAAATGGATTTACAGCAGGACTTCTAAGCACTCAGATCAGATACATTAAATGGGAATTTCTAAATGTCTTTTTCTCTCATTGTATAAAATCCGATGTGTCCCAGAAGCTGCAAGGAAATCCCCAAAAAACCCACGAGGGAACTAAAAACTACCTTCAGGCAGCATAAATACTACTTGTCCCTATTTCTCTGGACTTCACTGCCTTTCATTCAATAAGCCAAAAATAGCAATGTGTTAAATCTCTGGTTTATACAAATCATAACTTAAAAAAATATTATTCTAATTATTATTTAACCTAATTCCCAGTTACTAAATTATGTATTATTTGCTGAAATAACCAATACTTGTGTATATCAATGTATCTATAGTGAGTGCACTCAGGGTGAGATCAGCAGCTTTGTGGGATTATAAACAAATATTTGTTATTCCAGCATTCATTTCACTGGAACACATATTGGACCAAGTCAAAAATAAATTTATATAAGGTATGCATTTTGCTCCTCTACTGCCTAGCTGTGAGAAAGGTCAATTTGAGTTCATACCCCAGTGGTTCTTTCACATGAAGCAAAACTCACCCAAGCTTTAAATGTTCGCAAGGAGCCTTAACATTCCTCCCTGAGGCATTTGTGTTCTGCTACTGAAGTTCAGCTTCTCATTTCACCTTCAAGATACACTTGTGCATGAAAGGGGGCTGCATGACACTTTTAAGAGAGAATCATTATTGCTATTTGCACTGTCTTTTCTAGATAATAAATGAAAACCAGATATGAAACACTCAAAAAAAAAAAAAAAATCCCAGTGATGACATCAGCTCAGAATATTTTATCTGCCAGGTACAGCACATTTGTGTTCTGCAGCAACAGGATCTCACACAGCAAAATTATTTAGTTCATTTAATATAAAACCCCCCAAAACTCTGAGATGAATCACTCAGCTGACAGCCAATATGAAAAGGAAACTTTT